CTCAGGAGGAATCCCCAGGCTCCGCCGCTGTGGAGGGCACAGGTTGGCGACGCCACCGCATGCCCCCTCAGGCTGGCGCGTGGCACAGGGGCGAATTTCCCTGTGGTTGCCCAACCCGGGAGCTTCCTCCTGTGCTACATCGAGCCCCCGGCGCAGGCTGAGCCCTCTGGCACCTGCGGACTTGGTGCCACTGGGCCAGGGGGGTCCAAAAATTGCACTAACTTGTCCCCTCATTGTCCCCGGCGGTGCCACCGAGCGCCGGGAGCCTCGGAGGGGCTGGAGCTGGACAGGCTGGTGCCTCACTCTCCTTCACCCTCTAGCTACTGCTGCCCAGTGGCCCAACCCTTACAATTTTAGCTTTTTTCTATTAAAAAAAACAACAACCTTTTTTTAATTAAATAAATGACGAAATGGACAAAAATCCCCGTTTTAGATGATCTGTGTAATTGACTGGGTTTTGTGTTTCTTAACTGCATGGTATTCCTTCTGAGGGGTTTTATAGCACTTTTTAAATTTCTCTTTAAGATTTTTGGTCCGGATTTCTACTGCTCTCTCGCCTGTCTGTCTTTGCTTTATCCTGCCTTCTCCACGTTTGTAAAACTTGCTCCATTTTCTACCTGATGGCGACAAAAAAACAAACAAAACCCGACCCCACTGGTCTGATGTTGTACATAACTGCGGGAACAATCATAGGGAACAAACACCATCTGGACTCTTCTCCCCCTCTATCCGTTGTTTTTACTTAAATGCAATTTTAACAAAAAGATAAAGTTGTAAAGGAAAGCCCAGAGGAAAAAGAAAGGCTTGAGGATATCACTAAAGACAGCAACAAATCCAGCCCTGCACCAAGTGAGCTCCTGCTGCCCACGCTGCCCGCACCGAACGGCATGTCTCTTCTCGGTCGTCTGTCTAACACCATTGGATTCAATAAAGTTATCTCCTGTACCCGCCTGGCTGCTCGTGCTGTGTGCGGGGCCCGGGAGGAGGCAGCGGAGCGGCCGCTTTGCCGTGAGGATGCGGCCATGTCCCCAGCTCGGTGCTGCAGAAACCCACAGGATGGTTTGCAGACCCGCTCCTGGTTTGAAAGTGGGGCGGTTTTGCAAGGTGCAGGGGGTGGTTTTCATCGGGGAGGGCTGTCCCTGTGATGTCCTGGTGTCCAATTTGGGGTGCAAGGAGGCAAAAAGACGCCGGGGTTTGGAATCCTTGTGGTGGGCCAGGAGCTGTGGGGCAGGAGGGGGTGGCGGGAGGGGAGGGGGAAGGGGCTCGAGGTGGGGATTGCTCCGCTCCCTGGGAAGGGCTCCCTTTCCCCCCGGGAGGCAGAGACTGCAGCTTAGCGGTGCCGCTAAAGCTGGTTTTCCACTTGGGAGAGCGGTACTAGAGCGGGAACAGATGCTCTAGGAGCTACTAATTAATCGCAGGATGATTATGAGTTGCTAACACGCTGCGGTGGTGAACGCAAGGCCAGGAGAGGGCACTTTCCATCGGCTGTGTTCACTGCATCTCCTGCCTGGTGGACAGGACCCGGGCAGTGCCAAAGCTGGTGAGTGAGGGGCCACTCACCTGGCTGGGGACCCTCTCCATGCACCCCCAGGAGGAATGAGGGCATCAGCACCCTCCTGCGGGCGCTGCTCTGGAGGAGGAGGAGCTGATGGTGGGGCAGCAGCTCCAGGGAAATATTTCCTTCCCGCCATGCCCGTTGGATATTTGCAGTATGCCTATTGCGATAGCACAAGGCTCCCATGAACGCCTCAGTCTTGGGGTTCACACATGGTTTTGGGGGGCTGACACATTGCTCCCCAGGTGTGAGGAGAGGAAGCAGCTGGGAATGGTGACCTGGTGTCTCTTAGGCCCCAGCCCAGGCAACATTCTGAAAGGTGACACTATTTTAAGGGGCATAGGGGAGGGGAACCCCCAAGCTTGATGCTGGAGCCACGTGGGCCCCTTCCCTGCTCTCAGTGGCTATGTGGAGCCCGTGGACATCTGCAGTGCACGTGGCCCAACCTGGTCCAGACCTCACGGCCCAGACAAGGGCAAAGGGATGCTCAGCAGAGGCTGGTTGTGTTGGGTTCAGCATCACTTGTGGGTGCAGCAGCACCCAGGGGGGTCAGCAGTGTGTGCACAGCAGCACCCGTGGGCTGGGGCACCCGTCCAGCAGCTCCTCCCAGGGTGCCCCGCAGCCTGGTGCCAGCAGCATCCACCTCCCTCTGGAAATGCCTCCATGTTGGGAAGCGCAGCTGTCGCAGCCACCCTGCACCCACGGGAGCACGCAGTGCTCGGAGAGTGCCCAGGGACCCGCGATAGCTGCAGAGAAAGCTGCTTCCAACCAGGCTGCCACCCCAGGGCCCTCTCCCTGCTCCCCTGCCCCGGGCAGACCCC